GCGGCATCCCGGGATGCAGCAGGATCCTTGTGGAGGGAGCTGCTTCCAGAGGGCTCCTGGTGGCCCGGCCGCTCCGGGGATTTGGGTTTATTTTCCCTTTGGACAATGCAGAGCGCCAGACCGAAGCGCCGCTGGAAGAAGGGGGTGCTGGAAGGAAATCGGCCCCCTGCGCTTCCCAACACGGGCGCCGGGAACGCCGGGATGCGGCAGGGGGTTCGGGATGCGGTGGAGGGCTCGGGATCCTTCCCTCCCTCCGCGGCCCTTGGCCCCAGACGCTGCCGTTTTTATCCCCATCCGAGTCCTGACTCCACGGTCGAGCTCTGGGCGGGATGCCGGGAATTTCCACGCGGATTGTAACCTGGAAAAACCTCCAAACGCTTCCAGAAAGGACCTGCAAACTGCAGCCGGCAGCCTCTGCTCTCCGACGGTGCCGATGTTTACCCCCGGCGCCTGCTCGGACGGAGGCTCTGCTGGGAATTCGCCGCCGTGATCCCCTTGTCCCCACAAAAGGGCTTCCCTGCCCGGCATCCTCTGCTCCGGCAGCTCGGAGCGGCGACGGAGCTGCGGGCCGGGACACAGCGGCGTTCCCGGGACATGGATGCGGCTGGGATCTTTCCTAGGGCTGGTTTGGATAAGGAAAAGGCAGGGATTTGGGCAGCGCGGGATGCCTGCCCTGGTGCTGCTGGAAAGGCTCTTCCTGCCGCGGTGTTTTGATGATCCATATTCCTCCTTTTGAGGAAATGCCGAGTATCCCTGGTTTCCAGCTCCTCATTCCTGGCCTCTCTGAAGAGGGATGCCTGGAAGCGCTCCCCGTTTTGCAAGGCCTTTCCCGGCAGCTCCCTCTGCGCCTCCGTCTCGGATCCCGAGGAGCGGGATCCCGCGCTCCGGCCGTGCGGACGTTCCCGCTGGGCTCCACGTGCCCGGGAATCCCTGCCCGGCTCCGCTTCTGCCCAAAGCCTCAACGTACGAATTGGCCTTTCCCGTCTAATTCCTTTTTCCCAGCGGGTGCTTTCCCTATAACCAGCATTCCAGCTAAAACGAGGGGAATCGTGGTGCTCCTCGAAGGAGGTTTGCTCCATTGCCAGGCATAACCCGCGCTCCGCAAAGCCTCAGCGGGAAGGGAACCGCTTCCCGCTCTTCACTGGAATTCTGGGTTGAAAATCCCTGCTGGGAATGAGCCGTCTCCTCCTGCTGGGCAGCGGGATGGGGCAGAGCAGGAGGTTGTTCCTGGGTTTGGGCGACGCTTCGCCCGGAATTGAAGCCGATCCGTGAATCCGGAGGGTCCCAAAGAAACCGGAACCGGCCACCTGCCTGGGGCATCCCCGTTCAGGGAAGTGCTTGGAGGAGCGGGAATGTTTGGAATATCTACTGTAGCCACAGGTTTGAGATTCCCTAATAAACCAGAAATCCAGGATGCCTCGGCGGGGCGTGAAGATCAGGATCCACGTTAGGTTCTGCCTGTCCGCGTGTCGCCTTCGGAGCGTTCCCGTTTCCCGGAATTGCGAGCTAACCCCGAGCTGCTCTCTCCTTGCAGGAATACACGTGCCCCAGGTGTGAATCGGGCTTCATCGAGGAAGTCACGGATGATTCCAGGTAACGGACGCGCCGGATCGGCGCGCGCGGAGCTCCCCGCGGCAGGCACAGAGGAGAAAATAAGGAATAAAGGCGTGAAGGAAGAGCTTCCCTCCAAATTCCTTGTGCCAGAGGAAGCTGGACGCACGGGGTCCCGTGCTCCGTGCCGGAGGCACCCGGAGGGGCTGGGAGAGGATGTTTAATACGAGGGAAATTTTAAATCGGAGCTGAGCCAGGTCCCATGGGCAAAACCTCGGACGGGTTTTTGGGATCTGCTTGTCTGCTCCGTTAGAGCAAAACCCACTGTGGTTTGGAGATGAAATTCCAGGGAGTCAAAATCCCTGTGGTTTTTCCCTCTGTTGAGCCCGGGGCTCTCCCGGCCGGCGCTCACATCCCGCGGCTCCGGCCTTTCCCAAGGGGGCCGTGCGGGATGCGCTGCCCTCCCGGGCTCGGTTTGCCATATCCAGCCTTGAGGAGCTGCTGGAAAAACCATTTTGTTTGGGCTGGGATCAGTGAGGAGGAGAGGGTGCCGACGGTTCCGTGAACCCTGACGATCTGGGAATTCCCGCAGCTGGAATCCGGGGCCTGGTGTCGCCGGAGCCAGGACTTCGTGACACCCTCTGTCCTTTTCTTAAATGTAGGCGCCTGCTTGTCACTCGGGACAGGAGGGATCCTCTGGAGCGTGTAGCAGATTCCCGCTTTTTAGCTTTGAGAGTCCCTTCCCGTCCTTAGCAAACGGCTCCAGGTTTACACGGAGCGATCCGCACGCGGAATTCCCGTTCTCCCCGTCCCTTCCTCGCGCGTCGCTCCGTGCGGCGATACAGAGCCGCCCTCCCGGCGCGTCCGCGCTCCGTCTCACGCTCCCGTTTCCCTGCAGCTTCCTGGACGGCAGCGGCCTGGACGACGGCCCGGCCACGCAGTTCGCAGAGGTGAGTCCTGTCTCTGATCCCGCCGGGACCCGGGAGTTATCCCGGAGGGGCCTTTGGTGTCAGGAGCCCTGGGAGCTGCTCTGGGAGCAGGAGAAAAAGGATTTTCACCAGTCGGTAAAACACTCTGGGCTCCTAAATAACCGAATTCCTTCGCAGCGCCGTTATGGATCTGGATCCCACCTATTTGCTTCTGCTTTCTGGTCTTTCTGGCCAGTTTGCCTCCCCTCCCCTCTGTTTCCGTGGGCTCCGTTTGGCTCCTGAAGGGAACTGCTGCTTTGGTGCCGCTGCTCCGCGTCCCCGGAACGCCGGGATAAAGTGATCCCTCCTCGCGAGCCCGCGTGTCGCTTTACCGGGAGCTCTGGGGCGCTGTGTGAATGTAAATGGCCTTTGGCATTAATAATAAACGAAGCTCCTCTCGGCGGCGCAAAGCTGCGTCTTGGCCACAACGAACGGGCGACCGAGCGAAATGCTCCTGTGTGGGGTGTTCGGTGGGTCGGAAATGGGAATTCTCCACGGTGCTCGGCTTGGAACCGGGCTCCGAGGATGAGGAGGGGCCTGGAACATCTGCCCTGTGAGGAGAGGCTGAGGGAGCTGGGCCTGTTCAGCTGGAGAAGAGAAGGCTGAGAGGGGACCTGAGCAGTGTCTAGAAGTACCTCAAGGGAGGCTGTGAGGAGGATGGGGCGGCCTCTTTGCACTGGTGGCCACCGACACAACTAGAGGAAACGGCCTCAAACTGAAGCACCAAAAGTTCCACAGGAACTTCAGGAAAAATCCCTTCCCAGTGAGGGTGCCAGAGCCCTGGAACAGGCTGCCCAGAGAGGTTGTGGAGTCTCCTTCTCTGGAGATCTTCAAACCCGCTTGGCCGCAGCCCTGTGCCACGTGCTCTAGGTGACCCTGCGTGTGCAGGGGGCTGCACTGGATGATCCCTAGAGCTCCCTTCCAACCTCAACCATTCCATGATCCTATGAGAGGCTTGGAAAGTGAGCAGATTTGGTGTGAGATGGGGAAGCAGCTGCTCTCCTCCCGTCATGCTGCATGATGAGGGCCTCGTGTTCCACGCCACAGCATTTCATTCCCACCGTAACCGCAGGGTCCTGCTCCCGATCCCGCGCTCCCGACGTTCCCACGCGGAGCGGCTCTTTCCTGACTCCCCTTGTTTCATTACGACCGGCGAGGTTTTTCCCTCATAAACCCAAACCGTAAATCTTCAGCGCCCTCCCCTTAGCCAGAGCATCAGCTGTTATCCTAATCCCTGGGTAATCCCAGTTGTGGGAGAAAGGCCTCCAGATGGGCTGAAACCAACGGAGGGCACGTCCTGCCCTGCCATGGGGCAGAGCAGGGGTTGGGAACAGCCTTTCCCAGCTCAAATCCAGCACTGT